ATGTAGCCAAGTTGGAGATTTGGACCACATATTTTCAAACTGCCCTAAATATGATTATTCCTTACTCTTCCAAAACCTTATCCAATCAGGTATACCTCTTCCTACGTCCATTTCGGTACTGTTATCATGTAATAATTCACATATTTATAAGTATTTATGTAACTTTATTGTAGAAAACAATATAAAAATTTAGACAGTTCCTATATCATTAATATAATATTATTATTATTATTATTTATTGTCTGTTGTACAAATTTCCTAACATGAAATTCCTCTCCCGATCCGTTTTTTCCCTAATCCGTTTCCAAAATTCCTTAACATACGAAAAGGTTTCCCTGTTTTTAAATGAAGTTAATTTATCTTGTCATTGGCTTCAACGCTAACCGCGAAAGGCCAAAAAAAAACAATGATTGTTTATTCTTTACTAAATACCTAAGAAAGAAAAAATAAAACCTTCATTTGTAAAATAGTACAACGAATTAGTAATTTAAAAAATAATAATTGCCATCGACAGTGCAAGAATGATTCTCCCACCTGTAATATTATACATGGTGGTGTTTCATTTTATCGAAAAAAAACACTATTTTTTTTATTTTAAATTTTTCCATTTTTTGTTTATCGTACGATTTTTTATTTTATGAAACGAAAGTAAGCCTTAAGAATAGACACTACTGCAATATAGTTAAATTTGGTCTACTTTTTGGAGAATGTCAATCGGCGTTAATCGTTCGTCGTCTTTTAGCTATTGCCGCTAGATGGCAATTGGCAGCGCTTTCTTAGAGGATGGAAAAAATAAAAGAAAGCGCTTTAAATGAAATCTCACTATAAAATCAAAACTTTGTAACTTGTACTCTTAGAATAATAACGCATAGAATGATAGTTTCATATCAAACGAACTGTCACAAGTGAGGCAAAAATCAAATTCATGTAGGCTAGTTTTAGTATATAGTAGGTTAATTTTCGGTTTTAGTGAATAGGTATTTATATAAAAATACAAGTTGAAACGCGTTACTTCCTTGTGGAATGTGATGTTAGTATCTATTTTATGTTTGTCTAACGTATTTTTACACTCATTTACCGCACATTTCGTCATTTTTAGCTAAAATTCTTGATCTGTTCGCGGCGCAAGTTGACCTTGAGCACTGAAGGCCCGCCCGCTCGTGTAGGCCCTTTTGGCGCGCTTCAATTTGCCTCACTTAGCGTGTGCGGACTAGGTTTCGATGCGTTATTATTCTAAGCTTGTACTAATAGGAAATGAACGTTCAACGATACGCCAACAGGGTAAACTTGAAGTCATTATTAGTATGAGTTATGATTAGGAACGACAGTTCTGATAGTAGGTCATCGTGGCTTATGCACTTCCATTAGTTTTTTTCCGTAATTTAAAAGAGAATTATACACCTTACTGTTGAGAACGTATAATAAACTAAATTATGCATTGCCGACATTCGCGGCACAAGCTGCTAACGACAGGATGCAGACGTCGCGCGACTTTACTCTTTTGTTATGTGCATTCCAAGAAATGGCACACTTTATTTAGTAGAAAATAATATTCCATATTAGGTGTTTTATTCATTTTACATAGTGTGCGATGCGATGTGCAGCGCGGCGCCACTTGCTGCATTATTCTATTTCGTTTTTGTTTAAAGAAATTTAACCTTGTGGATTTTGTAGGAGCAAGAGAAAACGGTCATTTTAATGTTTATGATTTAGGAGTTCATATTGCATTAGGTATTCGTTTTAATATATAACAAATATCCCGCCAATATCCCTAAATAAAATTAATTTTCCGCGTAAATGTCGTGTGAAATTTTTTTCCACAGATCACCATTGCGTACCAAATAGGTATGCACATACTACGCCGCGTAGATGGAAATTTGTGTAAAAAATTTACCAGCCCCTGTCCAATGTACTAATAATAACACATATTCATAGCCTTGCACTAGGTAAACCCTGTATCGCAGGTGCCAAGGACACATACAGACAGCCAAAAGTTACACCCAAAATCACGGGAGAAATAAATCTAGGCGATACAAATTTTCTCCCGGTCCGGGAATTGATCCTGGGTCCTCCGACATGGCCACAGAGGCAATGTGGATTTCCAAAAATAGTAGGGAGTGAATAAAACCGGTAACACATTTTCCCTGATTAAACGATCTAAAATAGCGTTTTAGTTAAAAATGTCTTTAATTATATTCATTTACAGAAAACTTAAATGTATATTCTGGAAAGTCGAAAAGAGCTTATTGAAATTTGGTCCAGTACAAGCTTGATGTATGTACCTACAAAAAAACTGAAAATGCCCAGTAATAATTGATTCATATGTACCTACCTAGTAAATATATTATTCTAAGCTATTAATTTAATTACTGGCATAGCTAAATGCTTTTCCTTAAGTGTAACTTTGGATATACCTATTCTAGGCAAATTAGATCGACAGAGAGAGCTAACCTAACGATAAACAGTCGACTGCATTTTTGTAATTAAATGGAAATTATTTTTACAAACGGCACTTACTAGTAGTTGTCTACAACACTGGAACATTGTTAGGTCAAAAAATAAGAAGTTTTGGGAACACGCACGTTCATTATTAGGCACTTGAAATCAAGATTTCGTCGATCCGACCGCAAATCCAGCCGGACACGGCCGCAACTAGAGGAAATTCAAGGTTCATTACTGAGCACAGTCTGAATATAACTTATGGTAAAAAATAAATGAAAGTAGTACATTTTTGAAACACGATCGTTTTCGTGCCTAATTTAAATGTGTGCATTATCGGACTTATTTTATCGGACTAACTCATTTAATTAATTGCGAAAATTGACGATAAACATTATTTATCCTATCTAAGGATGGTATGTCCGTTTCATAAGTAAACACCATGAAACTACTTAGTAATTTCAGCATCAAAGTGCCACCATATCATCTCTTCCGTGACTCTTTCGTATGCGATCAATATGGCCCTAGTAAAAAAAAAATCAAAGAATTCGTGTTTAATACTGCTAATGCTGACAAGTACCTACTGCAAAAAACATCTAACAACAGAGGTACAAACCAAGGAACAAAAAGGCAGGCCTTAAACCTTATATGGTAAGAGGACAAATAGGTTGGTTAACGTCATGGCAATGACCTGTAGATTTATAAACTACGTGTAGTATGCTGCAAATTGATTGCATTTTGTTTCAAAGCGGGAAGTGCTCTTTACAGAACACGAATGCCAAAAGGGCTTGTAGTGCTTTCAATCAATTTGAGGGTACTTCAGTACTCTCAATACGTACATAGGCATTCAATTGTATGTTTCTAAGTGAAATTTTTTTTAACAAATATCGTAAAATTATAATTTTATTCCGGTATTGCTTAGTGCAATTTGTCTACGTGTTTATCTTTCTTAGGAATGAAAAATTTATTACTTAAATATCGTGCGTGTATTTAAGGAAATAAATAGACCATCTTTACTTCAATAAATGTTTTTCTTCCTTTATTTTCGTAATTACGTAAATAGATATATATAAATACTTAGTCATCTAAGAAAGCGCAACATACCTATGCTGCACGCATAGTGAAAACGACATATTATACATATAGCTCTCTAAGCATTACAAATTCCGAAGTATGATACCTTGAACATAATACGCACAATATACATATACTCGGTATTCATAGATATTTTGATATGTTTATGGTTGTATCATACAAAAATTGGAGACTTTTAGGTACATCCGATTTTAGTAGAGAAGCAGCAGTCTTGAACAACGCTGTAAAGTTGCCTACTTATCGGTATCCTACTGGATTTATCACGGGAGTGTGCGATGGAATTACACGATTTCATCGCCTTCGCCTTTCCATTAGGTCTAGACGTAGACTGTGGTTCCATCCCTGTTGTGGATATTGCAAGGATTCGCACGAAGCATTCCGCTTAAATTAATATATCGAACGACTATCGAGTGGTATTCCCTGACTGTAGTGCAGACTTATTCCCTGAACACTAACTTGGGCAAATTCAAGGCCAGAGTGAATCGATTTAGACATCAATAAACTATGTACATGTAATTATTTTAATTAGAATTTTGACTTTTATTTAATTTTATTTCAATTTTGTTTCATTTATTTTATTTTATTTCATTTTTATAACCTATTATTGTCTTTTTTAATTCTTATTATACTATTTTAGTTCTTAACTGTAGACATTAATTTCAACTTCAATGTAATTTATTTTGATACGGGTCATTGACGCCCGAAATAAATGATTTTTATTTTTTTATTTATTTAATAGGCATTAAGTAGGTGCGCGTGCTCCATCGTCGACCTCTTCATGACTTTCCATCAGGTGAGACGAAGGTCAAATGGGCACTTATATACTCCCGGATACATAATTCGAGCCACCTCGCATTTTGTCGTAAAGGGCTAGTATACAAAAATAGTGTTATCATCGAAGAAAGTTTTCCCCCGATTTTGCAAATCCAAATTCCCGACAAGGACTTATGGGAAACACGTTTAGTATACTGGTTTCAAAATTGCAAAATAGGTTTTGATCAATCCAACATTGTTTAGCTTAGGGCACTTAATACTGAAAATGCGTGGTGGATCGAATTATATGTCCGGAAGTGTATATTTTTAAAGTAGTTTTTAGTATAACTATGAGATAATATGTATGATAAAATATCTTTCTTACAATCAGCTAACTTATGGAAGAAGTTGAATACATTCATCGTTCGCTCATTAGTACAAAAGCGAAGTTTCCCGATAACTCCAACTTTAAGGATGGAGTCATTATTCAGTCAGCCGAGTTACTAACAACTCGGGGGTTTTCTTGCGTCGCGGCGTCCACTAACGAATCAAGTTTGAAAGTAGATCAAAGTTTCCAATTGGATATTGAATAAATGTAATATCTATGGACAAAAGACTAGTCGATGTAGGTACTTACATTCAATTTTCATACATTATTCGAAATATCAATTTGTTGTTAGTCATGACTCAATGAAAGATAGGTATACTATGAAACGATTTACTTTTTATTATAAATAACAAATTAACTGATACATTATTTACGTAAATACGGAAAACAGCACTGAATATGTTATATTTATTGAATGACTATTGTTTTGTTAAACATTGTTAATAAAATCAGTACACACAATGATTTGAGTTTTGAAGGGTTTTATCAATATTTGCTATATATAAGCATTTATCCATATGAAAAAATCAGACTTATGAGGCACTTATCAGACCGACAACTGCCTAGGTCTGTAATCTAACGAAGAGAATAAAAACAGACAATTCACATTTCAATATTTGTGCGAAATAAGTCAAAAGTCACAGCAATAAATTGTCATATTAACTAAACTAATCATAAAATTTGAAAGAACACTCAGCGCCTCGGCTTTACAAGTATATTGCGGTTATCACCCACGCCATCCTGTGAATGATGGTGAGCTGGAAAAATAATTAGATAATTATAAATAAAAACGTCAGTAATTTATCTATTAGGTTTCCATGTATAAAGAAAACTTTAAATAATATAAAAAGCGTACAACTTGGAACCTTTATAAATGGACCAAAAGAAATATTTTTTGTCGGTTTTATAATACACAGTGTTCGAGGTGTAATAAGTGCTATTACTTACTTGCCGAAAGCCGGCGCTGCGGATGGAGTTGGGGATTGCGACTGCTGAGCAAGATTGCCAAATGTAAGCGTGTTCTGAGTGGCCAAGTTCTCAAACGTTGGGTTGGATTGTGTCGGTGCACCGAAACCTGATCATACGAATAATGTAAATAGAATAACCACATTAGTTAACTGCACCGGCAGCCCATTATTAGGACTATCCGAGTAAAGAAATTAACTTTTTTTTAAATGCACTAGGTAATTGATACAAAGCGATTGTTTATTTGAATTTTCTAAAGACGTTTTATTGGTTAGTCTTAGTTGGAATTACAAGCTTTAGGTGAAAGGAGTAGAGTATTTGGTCTTACCAGGTGAAGTCCCACCGCCTCCAAATGCTTTCCCAGGAGATGTACTTCCGAATGCTGTGCCCCCGAAGGTGGCGCCGCCACCGAAAGTGGCCGGGGCACCGAATCCGCTGGTAGGACTTTTGTTGAATCCACCAAATGATCCGAAACCCGTACCGCCACCGCTGGGTGAACTTCCGAAACTATGGCAAACGTTACAACATGTAATAGAGGACAATGTTTAAATTAAATTTTTCATCACACTTGCTCGTAAGTAGTAGTATAACGTGCAGGAAAACTAGGCGGTAAATGAATTACTTAAACGACCATTAGAGCGACAATGTTTTTTTTTTAATTTCCACACTCCCATCGTCAAAGCCGCGATTCCAGAGTTTCTGATTTTATTTATTAAAATTAATATAGATACAGTCAGCTATATTTCATTTACCATTTTTATAAGGGACGTACCCATAAATGCCATGGCATAAATTCATTCAAAAGATTTTTTGTTTCATTTACAGGTAAAGTTAGTTTTGAGGTTAAAAATATACATTATTCTTCACTTAGGTAATTTTTTAAGATACCTATAATTTGTACTCTATATTATTGAATATCATGATGTCTTTAATACCGTGATATTCATGTTTTGTTTTGTGAAAATACTCCACTATATTATTATTACCGTCCCGCACTAAAAAGTTTGGCAATTCGTTTTTATGCCGAACCATCAAATTGTGGAACCAACTCCCGGCGCATGTATTCCCTCCCCTCTATAACATCGGGTCCTTCAAACGTAGTGTGAAGAAGCATTTGGCCAGACCGGAAAAATGATAGTGACGGAGTGAAGATATTTGTGTTTTCCATCCGTTACTCTCATCTCTGGACTGTATTCGCACTTTCCATCAGGCGCGGTGCAGTCATTTTGCCGAGTCACAATAAAAAAAAAAAAAAAAAAAAATATATTACTGATGCAAAGATCGAACAACAGAAAAATAAAATCCTCCGACCTGACTGCACTGGAACCACTTTTGTGCTCTATTTCGAATTATAACGTTTAAATATAAATATAAGAACTTCCTCGCAAGTGTGATGAAAAACATTGTATGCCACACGGGTGCAAAACCTACGAAACGTTCGGGCCATTCAAGCTCTTGCCTTCAGCTCGGGCTTTGAATGTGTCCCTCGGTTCGTAACTACCTGCTTACCGCCCTTGTAACATAATGTATTAATATAATATTCCCTACGTTTATAAAACCTCCACCACAGTCTAGAGTACAGTTTACTGCAATTAAAGCATAATATCGATGAAAATGAAAACTTTTGCATTATGAGCAAAAGAGTAACCGTGATGTAGGAGACTTAAAAATGACTTTCACTTACCCAGCTGGTTGCCCAAATGCAGGCTTTGAACCGAACACAGGTGAACCACCGAAACTCGGACCTGTATAGTATCATAGTTACATTATAACATGCTCTATATTACTAATTAACTGGTCAAAATGTTAAATAACTGTTACTGCTCTGTTGTTGCTGTGGTGAGCCAAAGACAGAGGATTGTTGTGGACTACCAAAGGACTGCCCACTAGAAGGTGCGCTGAAACTGCCTCCAGAACTTCCACCGAAGATGGAAGACGACTGCGTAGTCGTTTGTTGACCTGTCAAATCGAATTTATTGTTGACAATGTGTTACTTATGGTTGGGCTACACCACGAGTATATTTTGCGCAGGGAAAACAGAATATCGAAAAAGCTTATGCAAATCAGTGTGTGTCGGCCTAATTATTCTAAGTAAACCAAGTATACTTTTTAGTTATTAGAATAATAATTATTATCATTATTATTCTAATAACTAAAAAAGTTGACTTTTCTTCCCGAATGGTTAGAATCGGCATTGAGCGCTTTTCAATATTTTTTTTAATTTTCATTAATCGAATACACAAAATGTTAACGGAAAGACGCGAACTAATCAAGTGCAATCGACTGATATCCAGATTGGTAAATAGCTGGGAAAAACTGTAGTAGTTCACACGGATCACACTGATTTACGAAAGGAGCCGCTATAGTACATGAATCAAGATTTTCGTGAGTGCAGCGAATTGTTGTAAAGTACTTTAGGTGTCATTAAGTAATTTTATTTTAACAAAGTAAAATAAATCGGAATACTGACTATAACTGCCTCCGTGGCCGAACGGTTACCATGCCGGACTGCCACACAGAGGTCTTGAGTTCGATTCCTAGGCCGGGAGAAATATGTGTATGGCCTACAATTATTTATCTCATGAGTTTGGGTAATTTGTGGTTGCCTATGTGTGTGTCTATGGCACCCGCGACACAGGGTGCCCCTAGTGCGGGGTTATGAGTGTGTTGCGTTTATTACTATTTTACTTATATACTGTTCCCAGCAACTACAGGTATTAAGTAGCCATGAGTTAGTGGGGTCACTCCGAGCTTTTGCAACATTGTCGCGAACGCGTTTTGGCAAAGTTTTTATTCACGCTACGCTATCCAAGGGTCTACACCCTAGTAGGGCCGGTTTAGATGACATGTTTTAAGCACGGGTTTTGCTAATGTACGCTGAACGCGCGTTTAAATCTAAACCGGCTCTTACCAATTGCTCACCCAATCATCATCATCATCTAATAGATATGAGCATGATGCGGAAGGGCAGAGATTACAGATTAGGGGCTGCTTGTGTGTAGCTGTCTGACACTTCCCCTTCTGTTTCGACTTTGGACTTTCATGCTATTTCCAGCAGAGTACTATTGACTTTTTCGGCGATAATGAAATTGAAAACTGAGGAGTGTGCTATATTCGCACCGGACCTGTATCGGTTTGATTACTTTAATAACAATACACAACTCCGGCAGGATGAAGTTGCAGCACATACAGTTAGGACAATAATGGCTTAGCAACATTGAATGCTAAGCCAAAGCCGGTTTAGCAACATTAATTGTCCTCCAAGATAACCAGATTTTACTCGATGCGATTGTTTTCTTCAGAGCTGACCTTAAAACTTGTGTACGTGATTTTTGCTTTGAAAAATACCTAATATAAAAAACGCAATTAAAAAAAAAGATTCTTTACTTTAAATTATTGAATTTCGGTATAATTGGCAAATTTGTTAGAAAAATACCCTTGAACACCGTTCAAACATTCAAGTGAAACAACTAACCAAGATTGCCCAAGAAAAAGCACAAATTATAGCTCGAGTTTACTTGCGGTGAAGCTCGACCAAGGAGAGGAGTCATGTCTCAAATTTCCTTTCAGAGTTTATTAATTTACCAAATGCAGAAGATCCAAATCCGCCGCTGCTCCTATTATTTGCACCAGACCAAAAATCAGTAGCTGGTTTCTGGCCAAATGCAGTTCCTCCTCCAGTGCTTCCTCCGCCGAATATAGATGCTGCCGTGGGATTGGTTTGACTGAAAGTTGCTTTGCTCCCAAATACATTTGTATTGCTACCGCTGCCAAACACGGAACCCGATGACCTGCAAACACATACGACATTTCAAAATACTGGTTAACTTATAAGCAGTTCGATAGAATAACATTAAAAATGGGAAACAAGAAACTCACCCTCCACCGAAAAAGCTTCCTCCAGTACTGGGCGGTGATGCATTAGTCGAGATGGTGGCAGCAGCAAACAAGTTATTCGCTTCGCCAAACAACGACCCATTTGATTTCGTAGAAGACTGACCAAACACTGAAGATTGTGTTGTTTGCGGAGATCCAAATACTGAAGGTTGTGTAGTCTGAGGTCTACCAAATACAGAGGCTTGAGTCACTGCTGTTGGTGTTCCGAAAACTGTAGTTTGCGTAGTTGCTCCAAACACAGAAGATTGTGTAGTTGGCGTTGGTGATCCAAAAACTGTAGCTTGTGTAATGGGTGAACCAAATACCGAAGCTTGAGTGGTTGACGTCGCGGAACCAAACACGCTTTGAGTGGTTGTTACTGCAGCACCAAACACAGATGCTGCTGGAGTTGTTGCCCCGAAAATGCTTTGAGTTGTTGTGGCGGCAACAAATACCGATTGGGTAGTCGTAGTGACAGCCCCAAATACATTTTGACTTGTTGCGGGACTGCCAAAAACTGAAGCTGGAGTAGACGACCCAGGACTGCCAAACACTGAAACGGCAGTTGTTGCAGGTGGACTCCCTAGTACTGAAGTGGGACTTGTAGAAGTATTATTGCCACCAAATATTGACCCTGATCCAAAGGCAGACGACGCCGTAGTCGTTGCAAATAAAGAATCCGATCGTGATCCAAAGCCGGATGTAGCTGGAGCAGTAGCTGCAGCGGCAGCTCCAAATATAGAAGACGGAGACGCTGGGTTAGGTGTACTGAAAATTGTTGGCTTTGTCTCAGTCGTACTAAACGCGGATTGAGTCGTAGTTGTACCGAAAAGTGCACTTGCGGCAGCCGTAGTGGTTGTGGCAGTTCCAAATAATGACCCTTGTGATCCAGAAGATGAGAATACGTTTCCAGCTTGTGTAGTTTTTGCAGATGCTTGGGAAGTTACGGATCCGAATAAAGACGACGGTGATGTAACGGTCGTGGATGTTGATGGTTTTGTAGTTAATTCTGCTGTGGATGGTGTCGACGATGGCATAGACGGCTGGGATGATATTGGCGTGCTAAATATAAAAGCTTCTGATGAAGGTGTAGAAGTCGGTGACCCAAAAAATGGTTGCGATTTTGATACTGAAACAAAAATTTATCAAAATTACTGAAACCCACTTTGTCCTATGGATATTATACCGGGTGGAACGGAACGATCGACAAACCCGAAAATTGTGAAGTCTTAAATATGTACTTAATTGTACTGAAAGTCTTTTTGCTCTAAGTGTAATAGTTTCCGAGTTATTCAATGACAAAGATTTGCTTAAAAAGTCTGTGTTGTCAACCCTAAATAATAAAATCAACAGTTGTTTGGGGGCAACTACTATACACAGGCAGAACAGAAACTTTGTACTTTCAATACGTCGTTAGATCCGTTTATTACTTCAAGAGTAGAGTAGAGTATTTACATTTATCGCGCGACGCATAGTTTGAAACAATAGTGTCTCCCGCAACATCCACCCCGGATCAATTCAGAAAGGTTAATAAATGACCCTGTCAGGAACGCAACTCATATTGCCTGCGTGATAAGACTAACATAAAACAATTTAAGTTAACTCTCTCGTTTTACAAAATGCGTTAATCCGGCCCTAACGTAAAAATAAAATGCAGCCAAATGCGATTGTAAAATCCTCAAAAAAATTCGGGTAATTTTTTTCTTGCTTTGAAATAGCCGAGTCTACTAACTGCAAAAGAAGAATTTGTGTTAGAATTTGTATGAGTTGAACATTTGAAAGTAAATTTACAAAATTTTAATTATTATTATTTTACAAAGTTAACTTGAGTTAAGTAGTTGCAATTTTAACAAATGCAATGTAAATGCGTTTCTTGGAGGTCTGACAGAAAGCCTCCACGATTCGTTTTCTTATTTTTGAGTATCGATTGTCACATTGATAACAGCAATTAACTTACTTTTACTTTTGAATTACTCATGATGCTTATACCAGACAAGAAGATAAATGCGAGATCTATTTCTTTTTCAAATTAACATGGCATATATAAAGGACAACGGGCGCGTGTGCCGTGCTCATATCTAATCTGCATTGTTGTTTGCCATTAGTTCGTTGGCCGACCATTACATAACCGGCTGCGCCATAACAACAAACAACAATACCCATAACTCGCAGTATAAGACAGTACGTAGATTTGATAATAAGAAAATTTGTATAGATCTAAAATCGATAAACTGGAGTGAAGGTATATACCTACCTAAACGACATACAAGTTTAATCACTAATAAATTCAAACAGGTTTATGACAATACAACATATTTTGCACCAATAAAATTAGGTAAACGGCAAATCTGTAAATGGCGAAGTAACAGAATACTGGACATGATAAAAAAAGATATGAGTTAAACAGTATTTACAGTACAGGAATAAAACGAATAGCTTTATAAATCAAAAACGAAATTTGTAAAGACTACCGTAACCCAAAAAAAGTTTGGGAAATTGTATATACAGTAAATGGCAAAATAATAAAGTCAATAGACAATATTATCCTACAACATTATCCTATAACACCTAATATATTAGTTATTAGTTTTGCTCACGAATTCAAAAGAAATGTTAAAAGTATACGTACATATTGTGACAAGCCCTTCCTTCACGAACAATCTTATATAAGAAAACCGGATCTAACGATGCGGATTAAACAGGCTAGCTACGATACTCCATTATTAAAAACTTAAATATAAATAAAAGTCTCGGAATTGATAACACACGAATAGCACATTTAAAACATGTAATCTCTGACATTACCCCACTGATTATACACCTCATCAATTGTTGTCTTGCTACTTCGTTGTCGTTAATCCCGACGAATTAAAAATCGGCCGTATAAGACCCATATACAAAAAAGGTTCCCATAAGGATTTAAATAACTACAGGCCTATCACTATACTACCTTCCATCGATAAGATAATTGACAGGTACATTGGTAATGAAATAAACAAATTTTTGTATACTCACAACATAATAAACAATAAACAATATGGTTTCCAAATCTATCGGAGTACGTCTCAGTTATTATTTCGATTTACCAATGAGGTCAACGAGTACTTGAATGACAGGCAACATGTGCTTGTTGTCTTTATTGATTTTAGCAAGGCATTCGACACTTTAAATTACAGCACACTTTACTGTAAACTAGATCAAAATGGAATACATGGATAGGGTCGTCTACTTAAATGGTTTCAGAACTATCACAGTAACCGGCGTAGATGCGTAAGTGTAGCAGGGGCAGTAAGTGAGAGTAGCGTAACCGAGGAGGGCACGGCGCAGGGTTTAATACTGGGTCCAATTGAGTATTTGATCTACGTTAATGATATGAGCAACATTTTCACAGGCGGGTCGGTATATCAATTTGCGGATGACACTTGCATAATTTCGTCACACAGGGACATTAACGAGGCACAAAAATACTCCAGTACAACTATGATCAATTATGCAAGTGGGCTCACGACGTCGGGCTTGTTATTAATTCGGACAATACTAAAATTCTGCACATACATTCTCCGCACCTAAAATCATCGTCAACACCGACTGTCGTGTCACACACGCATCAATGTTTACATAACATTATAAACAGTTGCTTCTGCGGCACTTCACAGCTAGTCGATCAACATACTTATCTGGGACTGATTATAGATAAACAATTTAACAAACTAAGATCTCGTATGTAACAAACTAAGAGTATTTGTGGCTAAACTGTCTATATTGAAATACAAACTTCGTTATAAGTCACTCAGAATTATTTATATGTCTCTTGCCGACTCCGTAATAAACTATGAAACTTACTTGAACAATATCTATAAACTGCAGCTATGTTTACTAAAGTTAATTGTTCCTTACAACGTAAAATCAAAATTTAAGGATAATTATGACAAATTATTTGGTTACTGTAGAGTTTTAAATGTATTTGACAAAGCTAAAATGCTATTTGTATGTCAGGAATACGATCATTTCACACATAATCTGCGAGAGCGAACGCGCTCTGAACATTTGCGCTCGCTTTCATACATACCAACGTATACTATGCCGGGATACAACAACGTATATGGAATGCGCAGGCCGGACTACATATTACCAGAAATTCTGAACGATCTATCAGGCGCACTGCTAAGTAAAATTGTGGGGAATGTCAAGAAATGCAAAACTGTTTTAAAGAGATACTATCTTGGTTTGTAGCAGAATATCTATAGTACTCTAGAATTAATTAATATTATAGTGAATTAAGTTAATTTAAGTGTCGAGTATGTTAGCTCATCGCTAAATGGTTAAACCACTAAGTTTTTTACCTAACGATAAAGAATGGTCGTTTTTTTATAAAATTTGTTTGAAATTGAACAAATAAAAAAAAATTGTGTAACTGTAAATACTGTATAACACTACAAAATGTAGATTTTTGGATTGTGACAAGAACTTATTGGCTTAGTGCCATTATTAAGTAGTGTTTGTGTTAAGCATGTGGAAAACCAAATTCACTTTCGCATGTTTCACCGGTACACGCAGGAATGTGTGTCTGGAATATCTGCAAGAATAAAGGGGAGGTGGACATATCGAACTCTAATCTTCTTTAAGTAAGATCAAGGTAAGAGGAAAGCAGTTCTCTCTCACTTGAGGGCCGATGAAGGAATGACGCGCCGCGCCGTGGGGCGACAGATATAGATAGTACATCTGTACTAACGTCATTCGTCCGCGTTATTAGGGTTGTGGCAATGCGTAAAGTCAACATCTAGATTTGAATTTTTCAACTGCACCGAATTTACATTACAGTAAATAAAACTCAGTATCTAGGGTTCTTAACGTTTCGGCTTTGTCGGTCAATCCGTTCCAACCTGTGTTATAAAATCCTCGTAACTATAAATTTACCTTTCGGGGAAGCAGCATTTGCCGCAGCAAATAAGGATGCAGCATTGGAATTTACTGTGGAATTTGAATTTTCTGGCGCCTTTGGCACTGCCTGCGTATCAGAATCTGTTTGTGCGGATTTCTCTTGTTCACCTGAACAAACCACCAAAGTACGTTTTAAAAAATAAAGACTAGAAACTGTAAATCAAGAACAAATAATATCTACGTCAATGCTCACCGGAAACACCGCTTGGACTACTAACAGAAGGAATGACAGATACAAAAACAGAAGGCTGAACAGCAGCTTTAGCCAATGGCTTAACTATATTTTCCTTTTTGTCTGCGCTTCCTTTTTGAGCAACAGTTTCTCTCGTTTCTCGGATATTTTCTTTACACTTCTCTAAATCCTTTTCTACTAGCTTAGGCACGGGTTCATCCATTTTAGTGAGGCCTGCCGGGTTAATTTTTAAAACATCAGGAACATTTTGTGAGTCACTTGATAGTGGCGTTGAAGACTTTATTTCGAAGAGGTTTTTCATTGGTTTCTGTTCTTTCGAGGTTTCAATTGGGTTTACTTCAGTATTATCTGGTTCACCAGTCTCGTCAGATTTACTTGTAATAATGCTACTTGGCGAGTTTGTTTTGGGTACAAACTCTTGAGGTGTGAATTTTTGGAACATATTGTTTATGTCAGATATTGGTTTGGAGACGATAGACGCTGTAGTAGGCTGAGCTGAAGATGGTGTTGCTGGTGAAACTAAAAAACAGAACTTCTTTTTATATTCTGCAAAACAAATTTGTTTGTACTTTGTATACATTGATAGTTTTTTCTGTGTCATTACACTTTAATTTTTTGTTTTTTGATTCAATGACGACATCGTCATTGAATCTTTTCTTGATCATGACAAGAATAAGTAGGTAGTCTAAAACTCAATTTAGCTAGAAAGTTCTAACCAAGTTAGGTTAGAACCTTCTTGCTCAATTTCATAATATAGTGCTACAGAAAATCAATACTCCGATGTTATATTAATTGTGAGCATACATTGCCAAGCAAAAGGTGAACAAATTTTCTGCCCCATAAACGTGTTAGCATCACTCTTAGTCTCTTGATTCACTGGATTAGCCGGAGTCTGTTTGTTCTGCAACATGACTTTTAACACGCTGCGAGTGTTAGGCGATACAGTTGGAGGAGGAGCGAAACGTGTGAAGTTTGGAAATTCGGGTTGGTGTGGCTTTATAACTTGAGGTTGTGGTTGTTGGAATGATTTCGATTCGTCTGTTTTGGATTCTGTAAAAATTTTAAATAGATATAGCTCCATAGTTAAGCCATTATCACTAGTTACAGGTTTCACACCACATTTTTTTAACTGTTCCGATATTTCATCAATAAAGTAAAATCTATAACTAATAAGTTATCATACCAAAAGTCCTGGCGACGTTGCAAAATCCAGGGTAGACAGGCTTTACGTTAGTAACTGGCGTGAAAGTAGGCACATTGATGGCGGCTTGCTCTACTTTCTGGTTTGTTAAGTCTGGTTCCGGTGGCATAACAACTGAAAAATAACATGCGTGTACATGTATATACAATAAATATACCGTCAATACAATTTTTAGAGCAGAGCTTTTTTTGATAGCACTTTTAGTGCTATCATCCCATTAACTCAATCATATTCAGAATTAAAAAAATCACACCAATAATTTCAAAAGAACAAACAACTTACCAGGTTGAAGAGTTTGTGCTGTCATAGTAGGTTCGCTCTTATTTTGTAGCGGTTCAGATTTAATCTCAGGTGAAAGATGAGCTTTCTGCTTCGTACTCTTTTCATAATTAAGTCTCATAGATGCCAACTGCTGTCGCAGTTCAACATTAACTGGTTTTATTTTGATAGGTTTATGATTGGATAACATGTCTCGTAGAGCGTCTAACTTTTGGGGTGTGAGGAACGAATCTCTAGGTTTGTTTGAATCTGGCTCTATACTCATATTTAGTATGTTCTTTGTTAGTTTTGAGAGAGGATCTCTGAAATAATGTATATTTGATATAACATTGTGTATAGCATTGTTTAAAAATAAAAGCTTGGTGATTGGAAAAGTTACTTAATGGCACTACAAATAAAAAAATATTCAAAACTAATGCTCCCCACTCCCCACCGAGTGTAGGACATGTAGAAAAACTGTTAATTAGAATCAACTTACTTGTTATTCCTAAAAGGCGTGGTTCGTAGCAGTGACGTAGACTTAAACATTGGCGAAGCATCACATTCTTTCAGTGTGTTCCTCAGAGTTCGTAGCACTGCTTGTTGGCGACTTAATATCTCTTGTTGCTTTACTAATGGTTGGTATACATCGTCTAGTATTGGACGAATCATGTATTGACCTGGCCTAGAATTTAATATTTTTCGCTGTTTCAAAAGGGTGAAGTAAATATCAATTCTGAATCCAACGTAAAACAGCTATAAAACTCTGACCTCTCACATAAAATATATGGTTTTAATAAATTTTACAATAACAATTTAAAACATAAATTTCATATCCTGAAATACAACTCGTAACGTATTATTAATACATGCTTATGAAACAGAGTGTATTGTTTATGCTAATTTCTAGTTCAGAAAGAAATATTCTGGAAAATAAAACCTGGAAAGTGACCCTCAAATTGGTGTCAAATTTAAATAAAACTTGTCAAATTGTTAAACATCGATCAATACAACGTCACCAGTTGTGTATACTCAAAAAATATCATGCTATATTAATATATAAACTTACTTATGAAACTGCGAATCCTTAGCAGCTATCTCGTTCCACTTGTGATCAAGCGCCCTGTGTGCTTGATCAAGTTGCGTTTGCACGTAGTACGCCAGTTTCTGAACTGACGCCACGCGTTTTATTGTCAGTGGATCTGTCTGTGTCCATTGATGTAGATCTTTTGCTCTGTGAAAGGGTACTAATGTCAGTCTTAATACTAGACAGAGATCCAGGAAACGGGCATTAGTTAGGCCAATGCCGGTGATTTCACATGTTTTAGAATTAATGAACTTCTGCGACATGCATAGCAAGACAGATAAATAGAAGTACATTTTATTGTTCACACAGAAAAACATAAACGGTACATAGACAACTTAGAATTAATGTGAGCAGAGGCGACTTTGTCGCTGAAACCGATCTCGTCTAGACAACCTTTGAAATTGAGGAGAGCTAAACAGAGAGGGAGACGTAGTGTACCAATGGTAAAAAGGACAATGGCAAACTCTCAATCTCAATTTTTTGTTGACATAATTTGTATGCGTCTGTTTATGAAAAATATGTGAAAATACATAAACAGTTGAAATGCCTGAACAAATTTTGATTTGGGTTTACTATTCTGAGAAGTCTGGAATTAAAGATAGTTTGAAGTTTGAAGTTTTGGAGGTTATGTGTTACGTAATTGAATAAAATTTATTCGGTGTATTATTATATCAAAATAAACTACAGAAGCCTCAAATAGAGTTAATAGAAGTGAATGGTGCCGTGGGTTTGTGACGCGACGAAAGTTCAGAGCAGCAAATTGTTTTTTATACTGATATGGTCAAAAGGCATGAAGTTAAGCCATAACGAAAAAACTGAGTTAATTAATACACACCACAGACTATTGCACTGATAACTCGGACACAAATTATTATTTTGTGAAACGTGCCATTCATCCCTGATTTCAGGTTTTTTTTGTCAGTTTTACCATTTTCTCGGTTGGCATTTCAGAGAGGAAATTATCTACTTTTTTTTGTAATGAAGTAGGTAATCCTTTATTAGCTTATTACAAATGAGTTGAATCAGAAAGTTAGATATTACGTGAACTAAATGTGGACCGTATCTTTACGTAGTTACAGATATTCTTTTTTTGGCGGCTAGATGTCGCTCAAGGCTAAGAAATTTAAAAAACTGACAGTTTATATAACTGACAGATATCAGTCCGGTTATATACCTATTCGTCATTGGAGTTTCTTTTGAATGTGATTTTATTTCCAGGCTTAGATAGGCTGCTATTGTAATTTGCAAAATCGGATTAATTTATTTTATAGGAAATGAAACTATTTTTCCGGATTTAAATCGTGTAAATTTGTTTTTTTTTTTCAAGTAAACCAACGTTTCGGGCCCTTTACAGATCCCATGGTCACGGTTTGTTTGAAAAAACAAATATACGCAACTTAAATCCGGAAAAATAGTTTCATTTTCTATGTGTAACAACCGTGAAAACCTAAGAACTCGATAATTTATTTTATTCAAACTGGTAAATAAAACAATTAAGGACGCTAACGAATTCTATTAACTACGATTTTGCCATTGTTCTTTAGGTATAGTATAGACAGGGATAAAATTCATATGACTCAAAGAGACGATATGAGAAAAATGCAAACCTTAGAGTGCATTGTATAATGTTGTCTGACGTTATGGTTATCTGAACTAGCACAGCTACATATTGTAATAGGTACACTAAAATAATGCTCACTCAGCATGCGTCCTGGCCTCCGCGACAACAGCGCAAGCGCGGACCAATTCCAACTTGAGTTGCACTATATCGGCGCGTAACTCTTCTAGAGAGCAGTCTTTCTTTAGCTGCTCTGGGTCCAGCGATTGGAAGTTGAAATTGGAATCGATAGATTCCAAATCTTGTTCGAACTGTAAAGGTTATTTTTAAACGATTAAAAAAATTGTGCGTATGTTACGGAGTTACTCCAGCATTTGTGAACCGATTTTGACGATTCTTTTTTTGTTGGAAAAAGAGTACCGCAGTATTGGTCCCATTTAAATTTGAAAAAAATATTCCACCTCTAATGGTGGCAAGCTAGGGGATGAATACGGTTTCGCGCACTTTCTGGGAACCGATTTCAATGAAACTGGCAAATAGATGTAAGTCTACGGTTTTTATCGGTTTTTGTTTTATAATTATTATGTTAGGCTACGTATATATTATAATAAATTAATAATACATTTAATTTAATAAAAAATCGTATTGAAACAAAATACAATAATTTGCAAAGCACATGTAGTAAACAAATAAAAAAACACAAAAAAGGAAAACAAAGAAGTATTTAATTATTAACTTTTGTAAGTATAGCCAAAAATAGGGTGGTTTACATTAATATTAGACATAACTGACTTTACCTTCTCAGTCAGTCGTGACCATGGGACTTGCAAAGGGTCTGAAACGTTGGTTTGTTTGAAATAAAAAACAAATATACGCGATTTAGATTCTGAAAAAATAGTTTCATATCTAATGTGTAACAATCGTGAACATCGAGAATATAACCAGTAAGAGAGACGAAAAAGGGCATCCCTGGCAACTCCTCAGGCAAATGGGCCTTATATCACTTTTAAATATCAACTCTCGTTTGCGTTGAAATCACAAATTAGAAATAATACAGCACCAACAACTGACCTGTGTGTACGTCTCCGTCCGTATATTCCAAAAATATTGTGTATTTATTGTAATAAAAATAACATCTCTAACAATGAGGGGTTCCATGCGGTGGTGTGGGAAAAGCAGAAAAACATCTAATTACAAAACAAACAGAATCAAATTTAATCGGTAATTAAATATGTAAGTTTTAAATTTTAGTCCATTATATGACACCCATCAATTGTTTCGAATTTCGAGCTGGCCAATCGGACCGCAGTTTTCAACGTAATGATTTGGCAGAATAGTTTTCAAACAAATTAAATGACATTTCGTCTCTATTTCTGGTTATATACTCGATGATCGTGAAAACTTAAGAACTGGATATGTAAAGGTATTGTTTTATTTTTTAGGGTTCCACATTCAACAACTTTACTCTAAGGGCCCTATAGTATACAGAACAATAATGCCAAATGTAGAATAAAAACTTCTAAGACAGTGGTTCAACTGTATTTTTTTCTTTTGCGTGTAACTAAGTTTCACTGCTGGTTCATTATAATTGCTCCTATTCCGCAGCGATGGCCCAATGTATGCATCAAATAAATTATTTTATACACTTCCGGACACATAATTCGAACCATCACGCATTTTCAGTATTAAGTGCCCTAAGCTTAAACAATGTTTGATTGTCGAGTTCTTAGGTTTTCGCGATTGTTACACATAGGAAATGAAACTATTTTTCCGGATTTAATGTTTGATTGATCAAAAACTATTACGCTATTTTGAAACTAGTATATTAAACGTCTTTTCCATAAGTCCTTGTTGAGAATTTGGATTTACAAAACCGGGGGAAAACTTTTTCTTCGATGATAACACAATTTTTGTATTCTAGCCCTTTACGACAAATATACACAACATAAGAACATAATATACTACATTGTATAAATATTTACGTAATTCAATTTAGTTTATATACGCGACACACACGTGTTACGCGAGGCCAACATAAGGGAATCGCCGAATAAGCTTCGACCCCAATACAATAGTGCGGCACGAGGCAACAGTGCAGCGTCAGCCCCGTGCTTCCAATTCAACGTGTCGGCATTGACGTCAAAGGAAAGGAAGGCGGCCCGGCGCATCAAATATCAAGTCATTCTTGATCTAACTTCGGTCACCTATCATACATTTTAGTTGTAGTTTAAATTGTAATTTTATTATTTTATTTATTTAATTATTATTTTTCTTTATTAAAATTAATTAAATAAATTGATTTTTTTTGCAACTTCCGCCTGCAACTAACTTAATTGGCGCAGTCGGTAGGATTCGTCGAATATTAACGTAAATCGATTACGGGCACCGACGAATCAGAATCTACGTGGTTGCGGAGCAGAAGGAATCCAGACATCGATTCGGCAAAAGAAATGTTGTAAGTACTCTGAATCTTTCATAGTCCTTTCTGTCCTATTTTTATCCTATTCTATGTTGTATTTTACATCGTTATTTTATAACTATCGTGCATTTTATTTGATAGATTTTTTTTGTGTGTGTAATTTTTAGATTAAAGTGTTCAAGATTTTTCATCCGAAACAATCGCGGAATATTAGGTTACGAAATAATAGTAGGTGTATTAATAGGAGGCTTAGAGTAATTGACGAGAGACGTAACTTAGACGAAACCATGGCTCATTCCGAAAATATTGACTCGATCTATAAATCGCTTAGAGTAGTGCCCGAGTTCGACGGGAATCCGCACGTTCTAACCCGGTTTATAAATCTATGCGGTCAGCTAGTTAATTGTAAGCTTAAAAAACGATAGTGCTACTGGTTGTGATAAC